CCCCCCCACACACACACACTTTCCATTTGGTTCGTTCAATGCGTTTGGACGATTATTCTGCGCTCCTCTAATTAAGGCAAATATTGTCTTTTATAAGTAGCTCGTTCCTCTATTTAAGACGCTTAAAAAACAACAACAAGAAAACATCTGTTAAAAATACCCCTGGTGACCTCCACAGTCATGATTTGCGTTTGATACTGTTTCAGGGCTACACACTCCTAATCCTAGATCAAAGACTAAAAGCGGAAAATTGTTGTGAAGAGGACTTTTATTTGAACTGCAGTGCGGGTGGCGAAATCTGTAATAATGTGAATGAATTGTTGAGGATGCTTTTTTGAAAGCGAAAGTAGACCGCCTTGTAGTCTGTGTTCCTTGACTAAGGGCTAATTTTTCTTTATAAACCCGATTTGATATTTTCATAATTAACATTTAAGTTCAAAACGGGCGAAATGGTCGGGCATGGGAAGTTCTCCCAGGACGCAGACAACCTCAGATTTGTAACAAAGATGTTACCGTTTAGTTTAGTTTTCATCTACAGATAGTCTTTAAATGATGTAATAAATAGTATTTGTATCGCCCACATCCCAGCTCGACAGCAAGCTATATGCTCTTTGCACCATATTACCCCAGAACACCATAGAACACTTTAAAACATTCTCAGCTTCCCGGGAAGCATACAGTGTAAGCAGTTGATTAAGCGCTCAAGCACAAGCAAACTGACAAGATCTTTCACTGTCTATACATGGGTATCCATTTCCACCTATGTGAAGGGAGGGAAATTCATGAAAAGTGCCTTTCCCAAGGACACAACGTCGGGCCTCTGAGGGGATTCAAACCCACGACCTTACGGTTGCGAGTCTGAATATTATTTACCAAGTGCACTGTTGCCATTTGAGGAAAATTGTTTTTGTTATATTGTCCATTATTCTAAATTTAAAGTAGCAATAGCAATAGAAATCTCGTTTGTTTTCAATCTGAAAATATGATGGTAATAAACTATACAAAAATGTTAGATCACCCTTTTCCACATGATCTGTACCGATGTCTTGTCCCTCCACAGCTGTCAGCCCCATGTTGCTGTACTTTCTGTTTAACCAGAGTGGCATGGACATGAAGAACATGATGCCTCTTTTCCTGTACTACTCCAGGATGCAGCAGAGCTCTGCAGCTGGGGGAACCGGCGCCTTCATATAAAATACTTTAGTTTTGTCCTCGCACAGTAATCACAGTTCATTTTGTACACCAAAAATACCATGATATTTTCATTTTTGTTTTGTTATATCTTCGTATTGGAGGAAAAAATAGAGGCCATGTCGAATTTATGTCGATTTGATTTCTAAGGGCAATTCTAATAAAAAAAGGTTTTCATCATGGATCATTCTTGTTCGGAACTCTGTCTAGCTTAGACTCTCGTTTTCCTTTATTTAGCTATTAATTCAAGAATTTTAAACAAAAGGCGGTCGAATTACTTCATAGAGAACTAGTCATGTATACCAGTAGTTCTGTATTGGAGTGAGGTTTGGGCATTCTTAACTAAGATGAAAACAGAATTCAAGCAGCAGAAACGTGGTTTTATAGAAGACTGCTTCAGTTTAAATGTACAGATAAATAAAACGAATGAAAGTGTCCTGAAGCAACTTGGTACACAGCGTAGCAAGCCCTATGCTTTCTAAGATCAGCAAAAGGCGACTAAAATACCTTGGTCACGAAAACAGAAACATAAAAAACGGATCTGATGACAACTGTACAGCAGGGCAGACTAGAGACAAAGAGAAATACGGGAAGAACACCTACATCATAGAATGAAAACGTAAAATCTGACAGCAATCTACACCTTTATGAGGAAATAACATATGACAGCAATCTACACCTTTATGAGGAAATAACATATGACAGCAATCTACACCTTTATGAGGAAATAACATATGAGAGTTTAGTTTTAGTAAAGAGTTTTACGGCACTTGCAACACAATAAGGTCATATAAGTGCCGAAGATTAGAGGTGTTACAAGAGAGGAACAAACACAAAATAGAAGGAGGAGAGATCAGGACGATAGACGTTTGATAGGAAAGAAGAAGCAAACCACACCAGAGCACCCGCCAACCACCCACAACATATGACAGCAAAGGCCTGAAAAGATGAGGTCTGCTAACAGTTGTGGCAAGGAGCGGGGCACCAACGAACGAACACGCCATGCTGGCAGGCGACAGGTGATTTAATATGTGGGTACATCAAATCCGATACAAACACTCGCTTAACTGCACAGGAGCTTAATTTTTAACCAGTGCATGGTCTCGTGTGCTATAGTCTTTGTTTTATTTCAGTAGTTTCTTCTTGAGTACGAGAGTGCAGCCTTCAATTCAGCTGATGTCTTTACACGAAGCATCTCCATCACAGCCTTCAGTTGCTTGCCTTTGTTTCTAATGCTTATTTATTGTTCTCCTGTCTACGTTTGCAAGTGCAACAGATTTACCATAACATCGCCCCCCCCCCCCTCTTTGCTCGCCAGCAGATATAGGCCCAGCTCATGTTTTAGGTGTCTGTCTAAAAGATCTAAATGCGCTCTACCTCCCCATTTACACAAATTAGAACATTTAGGAGGTGGGCCAGTCAGGCCCAACCCCAAATAGTAGTGGTAGTATTACGTCCCAGTAGAAAGATGGAGAAACTTGATAAAAATTCTCTCCACACGAGAATCGAACTCAAGTCGTCTGCGTGCGATAGCAAAAAGCCTACCATATGGGCCTACGGTGTCACTGAGTGTAGGAAACTCAGTGATTACAATTAAAAAATCTACTATGATAAGCTCGTGGAACAGTTCCCTGGGTTTTTTAACGTTTCTTAAATTTACGGTACTTTTCTTTAATGTAGGTGTTTTACGCACCCATCGAAAAAATTAAGATAATTTTTGTTGAAGGCTTAATTTTTTCTTCAAATCAAACTTGCAGCTCTCACGAGAGTTCGCAAAGAGTAAATTTTACTCCGAAGCTTTTGCACCCTGAGTGTCGAATAACAGTCAGCACATTTAGTGAACTGTTGTAAAGAGAATTTGAAGGTTAAAACATAATCTATCACTATTATTTTTGTAATCGTTTTTAACGCCAAGCAATCAGAAATATTACACTGGTTTTCCAAGAGCACATAAAACAAGACGTAAGCTTGTGTTAAACGGCAGATTATTATATATATATATAGAGGAGATATTATTAATTAAGCTTTTATATGGTATGTAGCACTTCTAGGCTAGCATGATGAATAGAGTTGTGCTATGCTGGACAAATATCAAGATCTATTTTCAGCGAAACTGGAGGAATTCTGGTCAATTCCTGAATGTAGATATCACCTGGAACGACGTCTGAACGGCAAAGGGGACTGTGGTCTTGTTGGAAAATGTAATGCAAGCGTAAAAATCAGTAGCAGTAATGGTTGCATGGCATAAATTCTGTTATGTTCTATAAGGAAAGAGAGGACGGCAAAGGAGGGAAACCTTAACGTCGAGGAACATATAGATCTAGTGACAACCGAAAGGTCCAGGTGTACACTGGGACCACTGACACATTATGGCACACATTACGACAATCGACACAGGCACAAGGTAAAACTTTGATTCACGACTCAATCAAGCGGGAAGTTCATGATCGACCTTGTATTGCGAAAAAGCATCCCAACCATGTAAGGAATAACTGAGTTATTGTAACAAAATATGTAGACAATTGTTTAAAAAGGACAGTTATCAAACAGAAATGAGATCGAAAACACAGATCTGTAGCTGGCATTCATTACATCAGGCATGAAAGCGAGGGGGTGGTGTGGCTTTTGGAACAGAGAGGTATGAAGAATTAAACCAATTTTTAAAAAAAATCAGAAGTCCACCTTTTTTTTTGAATTTTGCTAGGGCTGGCGTCATTGTGGTTTAAAAACAATGTACACATTCTCACACGTAAAGTCTGTCGGCCCTCGCAGTTCCCCTATCACATTTCTATATGTACTTTCAAGCAGTGCTATGAGAGGGCTTTGCAATTGCTACTTTGTTCTAGAGGACACTAAAAGTAAAAAAAGAGACTATTCTCACAGAGTGTTTCCAGTTTGCCCATGACCATTAAAAGCTTCAAAGAGAGAGAGAGAGAGAGAGAGAGGAGAGA